CTCAATACTTCGATATATTACCCCATGTGAATCGGGCTCTGGAATGGTGGGAGAGACCTCTTCAACGATGACAGTGGCCTCTTGAACGGTGGGGGGGACTCTTGAGGGAGGATAGGGGCCTCTTGAACGATTGGAGGGGACTCTTGAGGGATGACAGGTGAGTCGAGCTTCTTCTTGCGGAGTCTTCGTACCATTGGGGTGAACGGAGACGTAATAGCACGTCCACGCCGTCTGATGCGTGAACTCCGTCGTGCAAGGAAAACCCGACGTAAAGCATCCACCTTATCGGGCCGCTAAAAAAAATTAATACATAAATCAGTAAATAAACAGACATGATATTAAACAAAGACAATATGTTTCAAACTAGCATTGTATTCACCCAAGTCATTATTCTATCATAGTTCACAAAATGCTCAGATAACATTCCAGAAGTAAGCACTTATATAAACATTTAAAAGGACAACATATATAAACATTCCAGAAGAAGAATAGTTTACTTTCGCAACATGAAACTTAAAATCGCAACGCAAAAATGACTATCGCAACGCGGAAATGGCTATCGCAATGCGAAATGCAAATCGCAACGACAAAATCGCAATGCGAAATGAAAATCGCAACGACAAAATCGCAATGCGAAATGAAATCGCAACGACAAAATCGCAACGCGAAACACAAATCGCATTGCGACTTTCATTTCGCATTGCGATTTTGTCGTTGCGATTTTCATTTCGCATTGCGATAGCCATTTCCGCGTTGCGATAGTCATTTTCATGTTGCGAAAGTAAACTATTCTTCTTCTGCAAATTGAAACTTGAATGGATTGCATTACTTCAACCAAAAGACAAAAACAAAACCAAAAACAAATACTAACAAAAACAGTTTAGCAGTATTGGCAGCAACCGAATGAATTACGAGTATGAAAAATCTTAAACTTACCTCGTTGCGTAGAGTATGAACCTCATTCTGCAACGATGCTACCATCTCACGTAGAGCGGCTACCTCACCCCGTAATGTAGACACCTCAACACGCCATGAACCATCGTCTTTGCGTAAAGTACCGACCTCCTCACGCAAGGCATTGACCTCATCACGTAACTCCCCTAACTCATCCTGTTGAGGTGGAGGTGGAGAACAGGGAGATAAACGTCGTGGCATCTTTGCCGGTCGCCTATCTTGCGGTGATGGTGGAGAAGAGGCTCGATGATGTGACAGAATAGGTGATGGTTGTCGTTGTGGAGGTGTATAGTCGGGTCGATCAGATGATGGCTCTGGGTGAGGTGATAGCTCTGGGCGAGGTGATGGCTCCCGAAGTGGAGGCTGCTCATCAACCGTTCCATCAAAACACTTACTAGCTTGCCACCAATCAGTGGCAAGCTCAGCTTCCGTGGGTGTCAGCCTCTGTAGAGGAGTGTTGGCCTCCTAACAATATAAAAGCTCAAACAAAGTTAAACGTGTGCTAGTAATAACTTGTTTATAAACATATGGTAGTATTTATGTTAACTTACATTATTTATTGTCGTATACCGTAGTAAATCTTCCCATTGCAAGGTCCGTTTCCTCTTCCAGGAAATAGCCCTGGGAATATCATTTGAAGTTTTTATTGCATATGTCTTCATGGCGGGAAAGGCCTCAAATATCCAAATCTACAAACAATATAATACACACATTAGTAATTGTTAATAATTATTATAATTTTGGAAACATTATATAAAATTCTTACCTTAAAGGCCCAAATAAAGTCTGTCAAAGTGTATTTGGAACCATTGCCATGCAAACTTTTTCGATCATCCAAGGCAGACGATAACTTATTCCATGTAGCTTTCCATAAATACGAGCCCCACGGAAACAGGTTCCACGCATTTAGGTCTTCTACCAATTTGATTAGATCATTTGGAATAGGTTGTCTGGCCTCTCTGCCTAAAAAGCCGGCATGCAAAAGAATTAGAAGGCATACTCGGACAACGTTGACGTCATCCATCCGAGTAAACCATCTTTCTTATTCACAATCTTGTCAGGTCTTCTACGTGTAGATTCGACCTCTCCAGCTCAAGAAAAACCCGGGATAGCCATGATGGCGGGTAATGTGTCTAGTGTACCGACCTACATCATCGTCCGAAGCGTAGACCGGTGATTAAGCAAAACTCCCGCCCAAAACACGTATACGCCGGTGGAAAATCAACCATATCTCTTCATCACGACGTTGTATAGTCTCTGTAGATCGCTAGTCATGGTTTGAAGAAACAGGTGTGTCAACATCGCATCTCCACCGGGATGTTGTACTTTCAGCCATGGCCCGAAGCATGTATCCTCAAACATTTTTCTTTGTGCATGTGAAAGCTTCGACGCAATTGTTTTGGCCAGGCTGACTTTATTTCTTAAGGTCAATTGAGCCGAATAAAAGTTCTACAAAAACAATAAACATACTAAGTTAGATATAAAAAAAACTACACTGTGAAGATATACCAAAAACAATAATAAACATAAAGAGTAGTAGTTTATTCTTCAAACTTAAATTTGCAACACTGTGAATTTCGTATTTGTCTTTGTTTTTTTGGTTGAAGTAATGCAATTCATTCAAGTTTCAATTTGCAAGAAGAATAGTTTCTGAAAATGAAAATCGCAACACGAAAATGACTATCGCAACGCGAATTTGACTATCGCAACGAGAGAATCGCAGCGCGAAACTAAAATCGCGTTGCGATTTGCATTTCGCGTTGCGATTCTCGGTTGATTTAATAAGCAATCTAAGTGAAATGGTTAATCTATTATTGAAATTACCAGTAAACTTATCATCAATTTCAATATGAAAAACCTAATAATGCAAAATTTCAAAAGAAATAATTAAAAAAACTAACCCTCGTTGGTTGATTTTCCATTTCTGATTGTGAGGGTGGCTCTGAGAGATGGAGATAGACGGATTTCGCCGGATATGGGGACGGATTTCGTCGGAGATGGGTGAGAGAGTGAGAGATGGAGATGGGACTGAGTTGTGATTTTTAGGTTTTAGGTTATGAGTTGCGATTACGGGATATACTGTGGACGGTTCAGTGTTCCAATATATTAATATTCGTGTTTGGAATTTAAAAATAAAATACTTGGCCAGGATACTAATGGCGCTTTGAAAATCGCATTGCGATTATGTATTATCGCGTTGCGAAAGTCAGAATCGCGTTGCGAAAGTCAGTATCTCGTTGCGATTTTATATTATCGCATTGCGATAGTAAGTATCGCATTGCGATAGTCAGTATCGCATTGCGATTTTCTCAATTCGCGTTGCGATTTACTTATTCGCATTGCGAATTAGGAAAATCGCAACGACACTGTAGACCATCGCAACGCGATTTTCGACTATCTCAACGCGAAATGCAACGCGAATTTGCGATAATGGATATCGCGTTGCGAATTAGCGATCGCATTGCGATTTTGTTGGTCATTTTGGCAAATCCGGAAAAAGTTGGTTAAAATCGTATATTATATGAGATTTTTGGTCACTGAGGTTATTTTCTCTAAAAGAAAAATGAAAGATTTACTCTCAATATACTCCGACCCGTGCTACCTAATTCATGATTGATTTTGGTTCACTGAATGAATATGAGATCATAATTTATTAATTTTACTGTTTACGATTCGTTAAGAGTAAATTTCTTTAGAATGGAATTTAAGATTATAATTTGTGATGATATTTTTTTAGGTTCACTAATATTTTTTTTTAATAATCTATATGCAGGTTAAACAAAAAATATATAATTTTTTAAAATAAATCTTTAGTAATTTTAAAATTGAAGGAATAAATTTATAATTAAACTGTTTCTCTTAAAATATAAAAATATAATAATAAAAAAACTGTTATTTATTTGGGATTCCTGTGATATTAATTTTACTTTTCTCCCTATCTTCTTTTCTTTTTCTTTACTAAAATGCCGATTCATCGTTCTTTCTTTTCTATTACCAAATTACCTATTAAAAAAAATCTGTCGACTCCACCATTGACAACTGATAAGATCAGTTCTTCCACCGTCTTCATTACCGCTCCTTTCATTCCTTCTCTTATTGAACTCTTAGCCGTATCTTTGTTTCTTTATTTTTTGTTGTGATGGGTTTCTGTTTCCTTTGCTTTTGCTGTAATGGGTTTCTATTTTCTTTGGTATGCTTTCATGGGTTTTTGTTTCCATTATTTTTGTTATGAGTTTCTGGTACACTAATTTCATTATTCCGACACGCGAACAAATCACAAATTAGAACAAACGAATTGAAACGAGATTCGTGGGGATGGAGAATGAATTGGGTAACACTGCTCCAGCCAAAAACTCATATGATCAATGGCAACGTGGATGTTGCTTAACTTCCTTCTTAAGCAACTACACCATATGACAAAAAACGAAAATTTTCGTTCAGGAATTTCGTCGAACACGTGATTACTTATACTGATAAAAAAAAGTATCCATGAAATTTAAGAACAATAAAGATCGGTATTTTCACAAACCAGTACCTGGGTATTTTATCTATGCCTTGATTCCGTGTAAGCACTTAAAAGACAGTCTCCTCTGTCCCTTCAAAAGACCGTTTCTCTGTTTCTTGATCGACTAACTTTTGTTTGGTTCGGTCATTTATGGAGGCTACGTTGGGTCTCTTCATGTTTGATAATACAACAACAGCTTTCGAACCCATTTATTAGTATACTATCCGATTAAAGCCCATGGCTTTCTTGAGTGTGGGCTTACAGATATTTCGAAATCTATTCCAAAAAAATCTAAAATTACATCAGGAAATTATAAAAAAAATGACTGTTGTTTCAGTCTTGGTCAAATTCTTACAATCCACCCATTTTTTCACATGAGGTGGCGATCTAATCCTTCAATTATTTCTGCGCGAATATATATATATTATATATATATATATATATGTAGAGAGAGAGAGAGAGAGAGAGAGAGAGAGAGAGACTAATTTTCTTGTACTTATTTCTTGAGGGCCTCAAACTAAAAAGGAATAAACGCGCTTTCTTGGGTAATTATTGGCTTCATGCATGCGCGGGTTGATGTTCCTGTGGGCGTTAATTGGGAGCAATTGTTGTATATAAAGAACGAGGATAATTTAGGGTTTGTTATATTCCTTCCATATGGGTATTGGAGCTTCCACTCCCAAGACTGCTTCTGGTATTACCATTACAATTCCTATTTTTATAGTTTTTAGCTTCAATTGTCATGTTCGTAATTGGAATCTCCTCGCCATCCTTTGTTTCTTCTTTCGGGGAAATTTATGAGCATTAATTAACCGTGCTGCTTGAATTTGATGTGTTGTTTGCCTTTATTGGGTGATTGCAGGCGATTTGAAGAATGAAATTGCTGGAACTACTGGTTTAGAACCTGCTAAACAAAGGGGTTTTGGCAAAGCTGGACAGACGACAGCCAGCAAAGAAAATAAGGTTGAATTTGTGAGGGAAACTGAAGAAATGTCAAAGGCTTTTGTTGCCGTTGATGGAGTCAGAAAAACAGTTGACAAGCTTTCTGAAAGAGTGAGTTCGTTTGCCGGTTGTATTTATAAGCATGGACATTGAAATCTATGCTTCTTTTACTCATTCTATTTTTGGTTTATTTGGATAGGTGGCTGCATTAGAAGTGGCTGTGAACAGCGGGACAAAGGTTTCCGATGAGGAATTCGATGTATCGGCGGAGTTACTCATGAGAGAGCTGCTGAAACTTGATGGGATTGAGGCCGAAGGAGAAGCTAAGTTACAAAGGAAAGCTGAGGTTTGTACTATAGGCATTGAGTTTCACTATATTTTGTTTTTGGACAATCTTGGCATGTTGCATCATTTCTATACAAATATAGCTTAACCAATGGCTAAAACAGTTTAAGGTTAAACGTTAAATTGCTTATGGATGAGTATGGAAGTGTGTTTATATCCTCTTAATTAAGGATATTTAGAGCTGAGCTATTTGGGATGAATGATCAGATCTTGCGAATTTGTGGCGACCTGATTCCTTCTGTTTCTTTCATAGTTATTGCCTTATCGGTTATTTGGCTGGTGAAGCTTTAAATGCTTGTATTTATTTCCACTCGATGACTAGTCTACACTAGGACCATTATAGTTTGATATTTCAATGAAACTGCTTGGTATATGGAGACACTCAGTCCCCGGTTCCTGCATCTTCTCATTTCGGAATGCCTTGTGAGACCTTTCTCTCACCACCTATTGTATGTAGAATACTCTTGGTTGTCCTTGGAAGTGCTTTTGTTTGTTGGTGATGCTGGAACATTTCCTATTATGACCAAGCACCAGTAAATCCATGATGGATCCTACTCCTCGAACGGTGGTTTTGCAGTATAATCCTGTAGGCATACTCTTCATCACTTCATGCACAATTGTGACAGAGTATGCCCGTTGTGTCGTAAGAGGAAATGGTTTTATGCAGTGACTAGGTTAGGCAATGAAAAGCTTTTGCGGGACCATGTTTTTAGTTTTACATAATTGTAGATTCTGTATCTAGCCTATGATTATTGTATATTCTGCTGCATGCTGTTGTATGAACTCATTGCTCCCCTGATCAGGTGCTTCGTGTCCAAAACTTCCATGAGACACTGGACAAATTGAAGACAAGAAATTCCAAACTTTCTTAGCAATATTGGCAAAGCTCTGTCATAGACAATAAAATGGGTGATATTCAACCATGTACTGAGAAGCTCGACTGTACCTCAACTATGTCATCTCTGACAAATCCGAAGCAGGATTGGAAACATTATGTTAGTTATTTTTTTGTATTCTTTATCGTATAAAATTTATCTGTGGAATCTAACACGTATCACTCCCTTTTTATGATTTATCAGTGCCTCTGTTAATGAATTGTTCCATTATTTGAGATGTGAACTTGACTTGTTATGTATGATGTACTTCTATTCATATATATATATATCGACTTACACAGTGTAAAACTTTTAGTTTTACACAGATTTAAGATCATTAAATGAATTAAATAGATAACTGATTGGTAGACAACAGAGGCAGATGCTTGGAGTCAAACCACAAATGGTAAAAGATCCTTGCACCATCTCAAAGTCAAAACAATGGAAAATTTGGTAGAACCGAATCATAATAAACATAAAATCAACCATGATCTAATCATGTCAAAATCATCAAGAACAATAAATACTAGATTTGCAGAAACGTATCTGAATCTATTATTGGAGATTATCTAGAAGGTTGATATTTTGAAGATTGCCTTTTGGTGGAGATCTTCTAAGAAGATAGAGTTCTCTCTGACGAGATAAGAGAAAAATACGAGATGATATATTTCTTGGGGGTCATAATCTCTTTATATAGTTGATTTAATAATTGATTATTGTATGTACTTATAATTTTGTCTCTCGTCAAATTATAAATACAACTTTAATAGTATCTATATTTTTATTTTCATGATACTTCTAATACATTATGACTTTATAACGTAATTGGTCACTTAATTTATGTCATATTTTATGATAATAATATACATAAGAAATATGTGCACATAATTATTGATTTTAATCAAATAAACTCTCACTTGGGCAGTATATATTTCCTGATAAACGTATAACCTTATGAGCTCAAAAATTATTATCATGCAATAAGTATTCTATAACAATCTCGTCCATCAACTATATTTATATAGGATCAAAACGACATTTGACAGATTCATGACTAGACTAATTAATGGTCGCGTATACAAACACAATCAATAACATAGATCAATTATAAAATGTAGCATGGAAATTACATACAATGTGAACTAAACATATATATTTCCAACTGGTCATCTTTAAATATTAGTGAGATCAAATTTTATCAAAACCAGAGGGTGAATAAACCAAAACAAACTTTATTCCTATAGAAAATAACCTTAAAATAAATATGTTTAAACTGAAGTAATTGAGATTGTGTTTATAACAAATGAGCTTTAAAGTTACAAACTCCCACTATAACTATATATTCTTAAATGATATTACACTCACATGAGTATGTGTTCATGGTAGACCTTGGGTGACAGTTCCTTAATAAATACGCAGTTATGACAGTTCTTTAAATGACATTACACTTTAAGATGTTTCTGTTGAATATGAAATATGAAATAAAGGATTACAACTTTGTTGTCTTAAAATAACTCAAGTGGAATTTTTTAGCAATCCATAGTTAACAGTATAAAATTGTACATTCATATTCTAATAAGTCAACGTCCGTAAGCCTGACAATCTCTTTAGCACATATTTTATGTGCTAAGCCTTATTTTTTATTCAATTTAATATTTATAATCTACTTTGATATTTAAACGATTTAAATTGGAACGCGTACTTAACCTTTTGGTTAAATTTGACACATGCCTTTTTGTCAATTAATTTTTACATTTGGAATAAAAATTTTGTTTATAAAATTTTAAAATTATTTAATTTTTTAATCATGTCTAACTTGAATGAAAATTAAATCAAGAAATTAAGTTTAGGTAACAAGTTTAACTAAAAATTTAAGTTCAAATATTAATCTGAACCAAGTCAAATTCATGTACCTTTTCAATAAAAAAACTATAAATAACAAATTGAATTAAGAAGCTCAAAATTAAGGACTGGTTTGAGTTAAAAAGTTAAATTTAAATATTTAATTTAATTAAACTTAAATTTAAATACTAAAAATGTATATTGTCTGAAATGAGACATGAGAATGGAAATTGTAAAATTTAGGGGTTCTCAAATTTTTGGTTAACCGATTAAACCGATCGGGTCAAAATTATTTTTGGTTAATCGATCGGTTAATTTTAGATTCGGTCGGTTAACGGTTAATATTTTTTTAAAGTTCGGTTATCGTTTAATTCAGTTTAAAATCGATTAATTAACCAAATTAATTGAAATTATTAAATATTAAATATATTATCTATATATTTTTAGCCTAATCTACCACAATCCTGATCTATTACAAACCCAATTTGTTTAACCCAATTAACTTAATCCCCTTAAAGACCCATTAAATATTAAAGAATCAAATAAGTTAAACCCCTAGAAGATGAATAAAATGTTATTTTATAATAAATTTCGGTTAATCGGTTAATTGATCTAATTAACCGAATTTTGTTTGGTTCGGTTAAATATTTTTTTAAAAAAATTAGTTCGATTAACAGTTAAAAGAAAAAAAATTGGTTAATGAAATTTGGGCACTTCGGTTTGGTCAGTTAATCAAACCGACCGATTGAACACCCCTAGTAAAATTTGTGATTGAATAAAAAAAAACTTAACAAATAAAACTTGTACAAACGTTTAAAATACGAAGAGGTCTGTTAAAGATATAAGGGTAAAGTACACAAATGCTCTCCGACTATGGGATATTATTTTATTAAGTCTTTCGACTATTAAATGTTATAAAATGGTCTCCTGATTATAAGATGTTGCTTTGTTGAGTCCTCTGATTGTGATTGAATAAAAAAAAACTTAACAAATAAACTTGTACAAACGTTTAAAATACGAAGAGGTCTGTTAAAGATATAAGGGTAAAGTACACAAATGCTCTCCGACTATGGGATATTATTTTATTAAGTCTTTCGACTATTAAATGTTATAAAATGGTCTCCTGATTATAAGATGTTGCTTTGTTGAGTCCTCTGACTACTCATGTGTTCTAAACTCGTCATTTTTCATTAAAAATTGACGGTAGTCTGAGATGGTTATTAACTTGCTGATTGAGTTATGATAAAATATAATCTTATAATCTCAAACGACTATCATATCTTAGTCAACATATTAATGTTCAGCTCATATGATCGTTAATTTTTTAATGGAAATGTTCGAGTTTGGAACATAATGAATACTCGAGTGATTATTGTGAAAATTTTAATAATTGAAAAACTCAATAAAGTAACTTCCTGTAGTTGAGGGACTCAATAAAGCAATATCCTATAATTGGGAGACCATTTACGTATTTTACCCAAGATATAAAAATCTATGAAGAGAACAGAGGAATGGGATAGAGATAAATAAGCACAGCCCCACCTCAAATTTTGTCATACAAGGTGGACCTGTTTCTTGGAAAGGCGGTGGAGTAGTAGGACAAGATTCCTTTGTTTTTAATATATTAATCTCTCATTTGCCGGTGCGACAGGACATAACATATTTCTTTCAATTTGTTTAAAATTATTGCGTTTATTTCATCACGTTAAAAATAACATGCATTATTACCTCTTTGAAAAGGTTAAATTCTGTAATAGTCCATGTACTATGTGTTTTTAGCAAATTTAAATTCTAGATCATTTCTAGTCCTCTCTACTTTATCCGTTAATTCTGTTAAATCATTGAATGATTTTCTTTAACATATAGTGATGTCGTATGCACACCTTTGCATCTTTTTGTACTATTTGAAAAATATCACACCGATTATAAAAATACGCAGAAAATTTGTCCAAGAGAATCAAGGAGCAAGTGTGGGTAATTTCCATTACAGATCATTAAAGATTATGATCCATTTGAAAATTATGTGAAGCATGCCTATTGATTCAATTTTTCGTTTAATTCTGTTGGTACAAATCACTTAATTTGTTAATAATAAAATCAGATGATGTGATTTGATAAAATTAAATTTTGATAACTAAGTTTAATGATCTATAATATAAATTACCATGTAAGTAATAAGTCATCACATGTAGGGACAGAGTTAAGATCAAATGTTGAGAAGGAAAGTTAATTTATATCAAAAGAATAAGAAACTATTAAGTATTTAAATCTAAAAATTGAGAGTGATAAAAGCCTTATTTGACTAATATTTAAATTAAAAATGACCTAAAATGCTATTATACCAATATTTTTTGGAGGAGCAACAGCTAAGGATTCCTTAGTTCATAACTGGATAACCACTGAGGTGTTCAAATCCGAGTATCCAATTTTTCAGGTAGCATATTTGTCGGTCCATGACCCGGCTCATTAAGTTTGAGTATCCGTATTTTGGGGTCATGAATACCCGATTTATATATTTTAATTTTTTTTAATTTTTATTTTTAAAATTACATAAAAATTCATAATACACATAATCTTTACACAATAGTGATTTGAAGTTAGTTTTAAGGATAAATATTTGAATATATTTATATTAAAGTTTATTTTCAAAATAAAACATTAAAAATATTAGTATTGATCGTGATTTTTTTCGATTATCATATTCACAAATTAATAAAAACTTTTTGAAAAAAAATTAAAACTTAAAATTACATAATACAAACTTAGAAAGAATTTAGGGATTTAAATTAGTTTTAAGGTAAAAATATTAAGTAACTTAAAATAAAAATACAAAATTTAAACTAGAATATATAAATAAATTAAAACTACCGGGTAAGGTCGGGTACTCGAATATAAAAAAAATTGATTCAAACCCATCCCAACTACCCTAGAAAAATCATGGGTCGGGTAATTTTTTGGAGAGTTATCCTGTTTTTTAGGATCGGATCAATGGACTAACAGGTCAGGTATTTTTGAACACCCCTAGTACCCAGACTTTCGGGTACCCGAAATGTCAAGTACTTGGTTATCCGGGTAATACATTTGTCAGCCCATGTCATGGTTCGTACACATAAAATTCGAGTACCTGTAAAATTGGGTACCAAGTTAACATTTGTTTATTTTTTAAAATCTAAATTTAAAACACACACATAGAAAACACATAAAATTTAAAAGTTCATAATACATAATCCATACACAAAATTAGTAATTTGAAGTTAGTTTTAAAGATTAATATTTGGATATATATATATATATATATATATATAAGTTTATAAAAGAGAATATTAAAAATATTAATATTGGTTGTGATATTTTCCTTCAAATCTCATATTGATAAATTAATAAAAGTATTTTAAAAAGTTTAAAACTTAAAAGTACATAATACAAACCTAG